TGTTGTTGGCTTTTTTTTGGGGGGGTCGCCTTCCTCTTTTTCTCCTCCCTTACAGAGTTCCGCGAAGAATGGTCTTGGATAGGCGTCCCAGTCTTGTTACATGACCATACCAATTCATTTTTCTTCGCTTCACAGTAGACAGCAGGTCTAAATAGTGACTTATGTATTGTGTCACTCTACTGCACACTTCCTCATTTGTGACGTGGTCATTGTATGAGATGCCAAAGAGTTGTCTGAAGCATCTCATTGTGGCTGTTTGGATTTTCCTCTGAAGCTCTGCCGTCAAGGTCTATGATTCACAAGCATACAGAAGGATGGAGATGACGAGTGCATAACATAGTAGTCTGATTTTGAAATTAACTGAGATGTTTCGATATTTCCATATTGGTCTTAGTTTTGCAAGCGCCCCTGTTGTTTGTGCACCTCTTGCATGGACTTCTGGCTTGGATTCTTCTTGGCTGATGACAGCACCAAGTTACTTGAACTGGTCGACTGTTTCAAGCCGTTGACCATTGACAGTAATTTTGGTTTTCATTGGTTCGTCATTATTTCTCTTCATTTTTGTTTTCTCGGCACTAGTTTCATCGCCATATCTGGTTGATCTTTCATTTCTTCAGTAGTTTAATCAGTCTGGCAGATTCTTCTTCATTTTTCGCCAGTCCAAAAAAAATATCACATGCAATTATATCATTCCTGTGAATTGGGCCAAGTCATCTCTGCTACAGAAGTTAAAAACCTATTAATTTCCCTTGGTTTTTTAATATGCCAGAGTATCTCAAAGTGTGGAAAGTACTAGATTATTTCTCAGTGAAGTAAAAAGTAGGCTTGCTGATCATTCTGTGCAGAACATAGAGGAAGAAGTCTGTAACAAGTATGATTTATTCTCTCCTAAAGCTCCGTTTCAAGAAACAGCTGAGTATATCAGCAACCTCCCAAGGTATTGGAACAGAAGAGTCATAGCCTTGTTAAAAACTCATAGCCTTCCATCAAATAACAATCTCTAGAGGTGGAAATTAATAAAGTCACCCTTATGTGAGAGGTGTAACTCTCATGAAATTGAAGATGAATTTCACTTTATTTTCTATTGTCCGCAATCTGCACCCTAGCAACGTTTAAAGGGTTGCATATCGTGCATGTTCGACCTGAAGTGGTCATTTTAAAGGAAATTTTAATTGTTAGTTCTGATTCGCTATAGATCCAAACTGACGTTATTTCTCTGCTCATGACGCCAACGGTCTTGAGGGCACTTAAGCATTCTCTCCATGCCGTGTGCAGAACTTACGAAATGTCAAAGATGGTGAGTTTGTGGAGAGATAATGTTCAATACAAAAATCTCTCTGCTCTTTACTAAACGTAACCATGATCTCAGAAGGCAAACGAAATTTGAGAAAATAATGTCTGCAGACTTCTGTTGACTTGTTAGACTGCTGTAGCTTACAATATGGCGCGATTGTTGCAACTTTTAGTGGTAGGCCTAAGGCGAACTGGTGCGTCATCCTATGAAAATGAAGACAATGGGTTGTTTTATTAATGCGCCATATAGATGAAAACTATTCATTGGACTTATCTAAAATGAACATCAGACACATTCCTTTTGGCTTCCAAATACATGTATTATGTTCAAATTAGAAACGAAAAACTTCAGTATGGAGGAAGATGTTTACAATACAAGTTGTATTTTTTGTTTGTTTTAGATCATCCTGTGAATGTAATACGTAGTTTGAGAGCATTCATTGGTTTATCTTTGTTTTTAGTTGATGGTTGGTTGTTGTTGTTGGTTGTTTTTTTTTGTTTTTTGTTGTTGTTGTTGTTGTTGTTGTTGTTGTTGTTGTTGTTGTTGTTGTTGTT